GAAGTAAAGAGGCGTCTGATCGGCATTCCCGATTTGCCCAAGCAGGTAGCCGTTGTTGCGCTGCAAGTTTAAGGACGAGCCTCTGAAAACTGTGAAGCTTTTCATCGTACTCCTCCGCAAAACTTTTCGCATATGCATGTTCCCCTTCGGAGGGAAAAGCCTTTCCTCTTCATAAAGTTAGTTAGCCAGCACCTGCTCGCTTTAAACTGGCTCCGCATTAGACCTTTTTCTAAGACTAATTGCATAGCCCGCACTTGGAGCAGTTCTGTCGTCACGGGCCGCTGTGCCGCTCGCTGCTCAAGCACATACTCGCCGAGCAGCTCTTTAATTTGCGGAAACCGACCCTGCTGTGGTCCACTGAAGCCTTCGCGTGAAGCTTTGCTGTAGACAATCTTCTGCTTTTGTTTCCGCCGGTCCCGCACGCACGTTTCGGGAACTCCGAACGACCGCGATGCGGCCCGATTTCCGTTCGTTTCTGCACACGCGATGACTTTTCTTTTAAAAGCGGCATCGTAGGTGCACTCGAGTTTTTGGAGTCGGCCCTTCCACGCCGTCGATGCTAATGCACTACTAGATGACGAACTCCTCAGCACATGTACGAAGTGCGCACATGAGAAACACATAGGCAGAAATGGCCGACGCGCCATGCCGACGCACGTAGGGGGCAGCCGTTTTGGATTTACCGATGGCAATAGATTGACTGTAATTTTTTTGTTCGTACGCGATTCTAACGCGCATGCGATTTATGAACTCGCTTAACCGGGAAAAAGGTGCGCGTTAGATTCGAGTAATTACGGTAACAGGAAAAAAGGTGCGCGTTAGATTCGAGTAATTACGGTGTATATGTATATATATATAAATATGTGGACCATGGGCGGATCGAGCCACCCATTTTAGGGGGGGCGGTAACGCGAATTAATACCTGAAAGGTGGGTGTAGTCATTACTTTTTTGTTTTTACTACAGTCAAACCCCCCTACAACGAAACTAATGAGGTGCGGAAAAAATTTTGTTGAAGCGAAAACTTCGTTGTAGTGAAATAAAAAAAAATATCACTGATCTGAGCTAGCAAAACAAAGGAACGTTTATTCTCAAAATTTGAAAAATGTCCACTGCTTCCTATTATTTCCCAGTAGCGCCACGATGTGATTCTCACCCATGCATAGCGAGGCCATAGTGAAAAAAAGCACGCTGAAACAACGCCTAAAACCGCTTTCGCGAACAAACCAAGCAGTTGCATTAACACGCTAACACTAGCCGCTGTCCGTTGTCAAAAGTATCCGACAATGCCGATATGGAGGCAGAGTATCGTGGAGCAGCGACTTCTGCATTATTCTATGCCATTCTTATCATCCGTCACTCACGGCTAGTTGATTTTGTTGATAATGCAGACGAACAGCAGCTATAATTAGTTACCACACTGGCCGAGCGCGAACATAATGTTAAGCACCGGAATCAGAAAAGGTATCGCGCGGCTGTTGTACCGAGCAGCTGCGAGAAGGAAACCATGAGCTGAGCGACTGAGCTTCAGCTTCGGATCGTCTGCGGCTAGAAAGCAAGCCAGTCGAAAAACAAAAGCAAGGCGATCTCCTTGCCATCACTATCGGGCAATGGCGGCGCCCATGCTGGCTGAACAGCGGCAGTTCTGCACACGCGATGACTTTAGGCAACTTTTGGGCAACTTGTGCGGCAGTTTCTGGTGGTGCCAACGCGCGTTTTAGACTTCGTTGACACATTTTCAGGCTCTGAAAATGCATCAAAATGTTAAAAACTGGTTTACTGAATAGCAATAAGTATCTGAACCTAGAATCGTATCAGTTAAATTTCATTGAAGCGGGACGATAGAAGAAAAGTGTTTGTTGTGACGACAATATTTATGCATTCACTCGTATGAACTGCTGACGAGGAATAGTGAATTTTCCGTTGTAGGGGAAATTTCGTTGAAGCGGAGTTCGACTGTAGCACGAAAACCCTGTAATGGTGTAAATACTGTTAATGTGTGCTCACAGTTGTCCCACTCATTAGTCCGAACTGGTGATAGCAGGTGAATGGCAAGCACTGAAGGAAAAGAAAAGGTGTGCTGACAGGCTTTGGGAGGGGGCGATCACCCCTACCGCCCCCTCTCTGGATGCGCCACTGCACTGGACTCACTCAGACTCACCAAAATTATCCTGGGCCGAACTCACACGGTCTCAAACTTATGAAAATTATGTTCAACCGGACTAACTGTGACTCAGATTCGCCAAACTAACCTGGTCTCACTCAGACACACTCGTGGCTCGATCTGAGTCCCAGTGAGTTGACTTACAAGTGAGTTCACCGAATCACAAATTAGGTCAGCGTGCTGCAAGTAAAGTTGTTCGGAGGAAGTGCAAACAACTTTGAATACCGTATTTACTCGATTCTACCGAGCCCTCGATTGTAACGCGCACCCGATTTCCACCGCGAAAAAAAAAAAAAAACGTAAGACATCGATTGCAACGCGCACCCATTTTTTCTCTCGCTGACCCGCACGATCACACCACTCGAAAAAACGACTCCTTTCGGGAGCGTCTTCCATTTAAATATGAGGTACGGGCGAAGCTTGTGCCCATCTGACGTGTAACAGAGCATTGCCGTCACTGTAGTTTTACCGTGGACCGATGTCAGCACGCGAACTTGCTTCGCCCTTTTCTTCTCGACGGTTGTGGTGCCAGGCATGTCGAAGTAAAGAGGCGTCTGATCGGCATTCCCGATTTGCCCAAGCAGGTAGCCGTTGTTGCGCCGCAAGTTTAGGACGAACCTCTGAAGACTCTTGAAGCTTTTCTTTGTACTCCTCAGCAAAACTTTTCGCATATGCCCGTTCACCTCCGGAGGGAAAAGCCTTTCCTCTTCATAAAGTTAGTTAGCCAGCACCTTCTCACTTTAAACTGGCTCCGCATTAGACCTTTTTTTTAAAGCTAACTGCATAGCCCGCACACGGAGCAGTTCTGTCGTCACGGGCCGCTGTGCCGCTCGCTGCTCAAGCACATACTCGCCGAGCAGCTATTCAATTTGCAGAAAGCGACCCTGCTGTGGTCCACTGAAGCCTTTGCGTGAAGCTTTGCTGTCGACAATCTTCTGCTTTTGTTTCCGCCGGTCCCGCACGCACGTTTCGGGAACTCCGAACGACCGCGATGCGGCCCGATTTCCGTCCGTTTCTGCACACGCGATGATATTTCTTTTAAAAGCGGCATCGTGAAGTCGGCCCTTCCACACCGACAATGCTAATGCACTACTAGATGACGAACTCCTCAGCACACGTACGAATAGCCGCACAGGGGAAACACATAGGCAGAAATGGCCGACGCGCCATGCCGACGCACGTAGGGGGCGGCCATTTTGGATTTGCCGATGGCAATAGATTGACCGTAATTTTTTTGTTCGTACTCGATTCTAACGCGCATGCGATTTATGAACTCGCTTAACCGGAAAAAAGGTGTGCGTTAGATTCGAGTAATTACGGTAGCTACAGAATTTGACTTTTGGTAGAACACAAGTGATAACCTGTAAAATATGTTACATTGTAAAATTTACTATAGCTAGAGCTTATAACTGACTGGATAACTGACTGGATTTTCAGAGAAGGCAAGCGGGTTAGGGGGAGACAGAAACTTAGGTGGGCAGATGATCTTGGGAAGTTTGCGGTATAAATTGGCACCAGCAAGCATAGGACCGAATTGACTGGCAGAACACGAGAAAGGCCTTTGACGTAGTCAGGCTGATGATGATGATGATAATGAGCGTATAAGCCAGAATAACAAACTTTAATTTTTAAAAATGATGAACCAGTGAGAGGGTCGCGTGTTTACTTAACCTTTAAGTGAGGCTTTGCGGCATGTCGGGTTTTCTCTGAATCTATGTTGTAATAGTTTAGCACTTCTCCACTACATGACATCACCTTTACAGGGAGTTCCATGCAGACTAAAATTTCGAATACTTCTGAATTCTGAGTAATTTAAATTCGAATACTGTTAGATTTGTTTGAATATTGAAAGCATTTAAACACTTGCATAAGCCCCCTAAAAACAATCTCCCTCCTATTAGTAAGTTATCCTTTAACAATGCCAAGAAACACTACTCTTTTCCTTGAGTAGACGCTGAATTAGCCAGAAAAGACAAATGAAGGAAATAATGCTGGAGACACCACGTTAAGATTGCCACACCAGCTTGCCATGGTATCATAGATTTTGATAGTGTGTACAGGGGCTTACGTGATTTTTTTTTGTTTATAAACAATAACTACATCTAGGGGTGTGTGAATACCAAATTTTTCGATTACTTTCGAATATTTGAGAGAGGTGACCTATTCGGCAGTAATCTTTTCTTTTACAACCGTATATTTATGACAAAAACAGATTAGTAAACTGTTGGCGTAAATTTCTTTTTGCCCAAAAGGAAGTATCCCTGTCTATGTGTGCTGGGAAGTAGTATGACAGCGCATAGTTCAACTTGTTACTGTATGCATGCTGAAAACTTTTTTTTTGGTTACAGTGTTAGCAATGCATTACAAAAAGAAAAAAGATCTTGTTCCAATTATGAAGGCATAGCGCCAGCTGTGAGCACAAATGCACTGGGATTTGATTTTTTCCACGGTAGTTGTCACATTTAACGGTAGTTATGACAGACCTTTTCACCGCAGCAAAATCTATATTTTACGAGCTGCATGATGACAGACAACATGCGCATTGAATTTCCTGTCGACAAAGACAGGCACCCATGGGTTGACATCAACCTGTACCACCTGCAAAGGCTAGTCTGCGCTTGAGATGTCAGTGCTTGTTATTGGCTATTCCTTTCTGACATACATTGCATAAACTTGGCATTGTATATTTAGACAACTTCAATGCTGATTTCTCCAATGCCAAGTCTATGAGACCACTATCTCATGAAAAATTAAGCAGTTAGCTCTTTGGCAAATGGCTGGAAACCATAGCCATAAAGCGCATGAGTGGGAACCAAAGGTTCAAATGACATGCCCACCTGTACGAAGGAGAGGATGACGCCCTGGACGACGCGCTGCTGTGGGCAGCGACCCTCGCGGTCCTGTGCGAGTGCCTGGAGCAGCAGGGTGAGCAGGGACGCTCGCAGGGGCTGCACCATGTTCCTTTTCCACAGGTCGAGGCCCAGCTCGCCCACCTCGAGCAGTTGCTCCGCGGGCTCCACGGAGCCATAGCTCAGGTCGGCTTCACTCAACTTGTGCTTCTTGATGTGTTGCGTGTTCAGGTACCTGCACGAAGCAGAACAAGTCAGCGGATCTGGCAGGATGCCATCTTCAGAGGGAGAGCTGCATTGCCCACCCCGTTGATTCAAGTTGCTCCACTGATACAGCTTTTCTGTAAGTAGAGAAATCCCACCAGCAGTGCAAGCTCAAGTCGTGTTATTTATCCTGAGCGTTATTAGCCACCTGCTGACCTTTGCATGAACTTTGTTCCTATATAAGTTCCACCAGAACGCTAATAACCTCAAAGTGAAAAAACAAGACGTGTCGTTCACACACACACAAAAAAAGTAGAATGATTCACTCTATGAAAAAAGCTAAAGAAAGCATAAAAAATTACCCATATACTGGGTGTTCCACTGCAAATGTCGTCGAAAGGCGATAGTCCTATGCCGGCCGTACTACACAAGCCCTGGTCTCCCGTGGCTACCAGTGATGCTGTTCTTATACTAGTATTTCCATCCTGGCATGATAAATGCATTGGAGGTTTGTTCGAACAAATTTCATTTTACCGCATTAGTTAGTACCTCCACAACATGTCAGCAATGTTTTGTTCGCATGTGGTACTTTATAGAATGGCAGTTTGCCAAGGAAAACCATTTGTGAGATATGAATGTGTTTATTGCGCGGAAGGGTCAATGACTGTGCATGTACTACTGGTGCACCGAAGTAGATGCCTATCGAAGTAAGTAGCACCATATCATTGGCAGAAGGCTTTTGTATGTATAGCGTCGCATTTTCAGTGCAGCCTAAGAAACCACAGGGTCTTTAGAATTACGTGTCTATGAATTCTCTAGTAAAGGAGCATACCACCTAATACTTGCGTATTGATGTTGTGCCTCAGATATGCGTCAGATCTGCTTGATTGACAATGTTCACAAGTATGAACGCATTCACCAGTTCGACATGGCTGAATATTCAGCAAGAGCTTAAACTTTGGCCGGGAGGCTGAACCTTGTGACAGACAAAAATAAAGATAGACCAAAATTTCTGTGTTGAACTACCACAAGAAAGACTGTCGACTTTAAAGTAAACTCATTCAACCCTGTGAAGGTGAAAGATCAGCAAAGCAGAACACTGCCACACAAGACTATACGAAAAATGCCACATGCACGAAGCAGGGCCTGACTGGACGATAAAAACGCAAAGGCCAGGCAAAAGCAAAAGAGGATAATGCATCATTGGCCGTTAAACTTTATGGGGTGCGATTCAAATCCCATAGTCAGCACATTTATCTGGATCCTTGATGTGCACATTCATAGCTCTGACTGATATCACCAGGCACCACTGTCATGCGTAGGGTTCTCCAGGAACCCACTGCTCAGAAATCTCGGGTACACTATACCTAAGGCACTGAGAGAACCGAGCACCGAAGACGCCCAAGTAGAGAGATATTGCTATAGTAGCTGTAAAATACGAAGACTTCGTTCTAGATGAACCGGGTTTTAAGGACAATACCCCTGAAGAAGTACAAGCAGGGCGTCACTACGCTGCCGTTTATTCGTGCGAAAACCAACCAAAAATCTAGGGCCATGCCCCATCTCTCATTTTTCTCTTCTAGAGCACACTATGTTCACTGTTCTTAACAGTAAAATAATAAGTAATAAAAATGCTCTGAATAAACGCTTATATAGGTGGAAAAAAAAATACTGATGTTTAAAATATGAAGCTGTTTTACATGTTTCCATGCTACAAGCTGCTAAGTTTACAAGAAAGCTCTGCTAAAAACGTCTTTTTCTTACGTCCCATAGGCCAAACTGTACACAGAAAACCATTACAAAGAGAAAAAGGGTGCAGAGAAAGACATGCATTAACAGAGGCAGCTTTATTAAAAACTTGCTATTCATGTATAATTGTGCTTTTTTAGCAAATTTCACTGCGTTAGATTCGTCAATAGCTGCAAACGGAAATATACCGACACATGACAAGCACTTGACAGACAGGAGTGCCCAGTGTGAAAAGGAAGGGGAAAAAAATATGGCGACCAGAAACAAACTTACATGTACAACTTGTTGAGATAGTCGATGCCCTGGCTGTACTGGAGCCAGTGCTTGTAGTAAGTTGCCAACAGGTCATCACCCGACACCACCAGCTGCACAGTGACACACGAATCATTTCAGCGATCATCCCTGTTCAGCTGTTGTACTGATGCACCAGGAGCAGTTTGTAAGAGTGGGACATCTGCCACATAATTAGGCAGAGAATCGCACTAGCTTGGCCTCTCCTTGACTACAATGTGTTGTGCAGAAACAAAGCTGGGACAATGATCTCCTACTCTTTTGGAGAGATTTGGTAACAACAGAACAATAAAATTCGTTTGGTAATACTAACATTTCCCATAACTCTCCATTAAACATAAAGAAAATGTGTGGTCAAAAGATTTCCTGGCCCTCTGCGAATGAGGCTTTCTATCACGTGTTCGGCACAGAGTGCTGCATAGTACTGAGACAGCGGTGCGATCACAGAGAGCGACTATTCCCGAACCTCTTGTCAGCATGCAACCTGTGTTACTAACTTTACAATGTTTTCTCACACTGTCGCCATGCCTATCTTTTGCCTTCATTTTTTGATTTTGAACGTGGTAGCTACGCATCATACAAGCTGCTTGATGAAAAGCAACTGTGCGGCCAGACAACTACATACTATGTCCCCATGTTTGGCTGAATGGATGAACTGACTGAAAGATATAGAAAGGCTGATCACACCTAAAACTTTTTAGGTCCCCTTGACCATCCCTGCATGTGTCCAATGGTCCAAAGAGCGTGCAGCTTCCAGCGATACCTCTTTTTACAAAGAGCTCACCTCGTACAGCTGCTGGACATGGGCATTGAGAAACTTCTTGGTCTCCAGATAAAGACGGTCTCCCAAAGGTTCAGGGAAGGCGACGCACAGTGCATACACGTCCGTGCATCAATCCGTCAAGGACCACAACAGGTCCCAGTGGCATGCGGAAATGACAGTTACAAGAGGCGCTTGTTCCTCAAACTGGTTCACACGAGGTCCCCTCATGGCAAGGAACAAGGCTTGTGCGAATATTCGAGTCCTTCAAATATTTTAATAAATATTACATTATTCAGATCTGCTTCGATTCAAATTTAAATTATTGGAAATTTCTATATACTCGAAAAAAATAAACAGGAGAAGCCACACTGTAAAGGTGGTTTCACTGCAGTGAAGGAGTGCTATGTCATGAATATACCTATCCCGGGAAAATTCGCACTGCCGCGAAGTCCTACTTCAAGGTTAAGCAAACATATTGCACTCACATTGATTTATCATTGTTTTAGGTTTGGGCCAACTCATATGCTTTAGGTATAGTAAATTTTCAAACTTAACATATTTAGCAGGTTATCACTTCGTGCTAACGAAGTGAAAAACAACATAAATGTTGTTTTCATTTGGTCTGAACCAAAAGAATGGAATTCGCACACGTCTTGCTTCAATTTTTCGAAAAATATTTTGCAGATTAGTAGGGCTATGAGACAAATGCCCCCATTTTTACTTGATAATTTGAGATATACATACTAATCTAACTTGAATCCAAATTATTCGACCAATTCACTATTTGCCATGAACCTAAAATTTACTATTCGCACAAGACTATAAAGAACCTTAACATCACTAATTACTCACTGAATAGAACGCATGTAGTAGCATAGTGCTGGAATCAGAGTGTCTCAGAAACTTACCAAGCGAAAAATCTGGTGCTAGTGAGCTGCTGGATGTAAGGTAATGGCAGGATATGTGAGCTTCGAACTTGACTCGGATTTGTATACCTCGAAGACATGTCTGGCTTCACGTTAATATGACTGCTTTATTTCTAAAAAAAGCACGTAATAAGCTATTCATTTTTGTCATTGGACAGAAAAGTGTTTTATTTAGCACTGAAACCTGCGGTGATGTACAATTTTACGAAGCGTAAGAAGTAACCAACAGCCGATAAACTTGACAGGCAGACAAAGCAAGCGTTCCCTCTGCCACTTTTAAGTCATCTGTTTCTTTCTTTTGCCGTTTCATTGTGCCATCAAGGTAAGTGGACTTCTATTTTAAAATACATTACGTGCTATTGAGATAAACTTAAAATGTTTTGTTTTAGAAAAGCTTTATTTATGCAGTCATACTCGCTTTTGAGGCGAAGCCTCGCTCAACACCACCCAACACAAGCCTTGCAGACACATATACCATCATTCCCAGTGCTCACTTAAGAAATTTGCATAGACGGTGGCACGACACTTTTCTCTAGGTATTTTTGTGAGAAACTCTAAAGGTGGAATGAACCATGCACAAATAAACACCAAATGTTTCTCTCCCGTTATTAGTACAGCACACCCTAGTGCTGCTATCGATCTTTTCAGTGCACCACAGAGCGCAGCGCCCACCACGTGATACTACCACGTGGCAAGAAGTGCATCTAATCCAAATCCCGCTCCTGGTGTATGTCAGCTGTCGGCCAGCAGTGGAAACTTGTTGCATGATGCCCTTTCGAAGAGAGCGCATGGGCCTCTGTGTGAAGAGAGGACACTCGAGAATATGGCAACGTCGCATTCCAATTGTGAACTCCTTGCTGTGCACGACTGCGAGATTTGGCTAAGCTATTCACAGCAGCTTCTGCTTTCTGTCATATGTGTTTCTTTCACCAAGCATAAGGGTTGGATCATGACCCATTCAAGTGTAGAGAATTTGAGCATGGAGGCGTAGCACTGCGAATCAAACAGTACGCGTAAACTGACGAGAAACCGAACGGCGCTGTCATGCGTTCCTGCTTGGTGTCCTGGTTGTTTATATGCACTGTTTGATTCATAACCCCTATAAGGTAGCCTTAATCTAGGCAACAGCAGCTTTGGTCACAAAGCTGTGATAAGACGTACAACTGTATAGTACTTTGCCTGTCTTCTCACTAGTAGAGCTGTGAAAGGATATGAGAAGCGGTCGTTCCATACAGGCCTCGGAACCTTTCCCAGAGTGATGACGCCCGCGACAGTGTCTCTCAATTGCTCCCAGGTGCACTCAAAGTCAATGCGCTTGGGCTTGAGAGACATGCTGCTGGCCACCTGCCATAACAGAGAACAACAAAAGAGATCAACCAAACACTTCTTGCCTCTGGCAGGACGGTTCGACATCGCTTCACAGTGTAGAATGCTGTATCAACACTAAAATACCAAAGCTAATTTTCATTGACAGACTCCAACACGCACAAACAAATGTACTCTAAACAACACTAGACTTATACTGCATCCATACCACAACATGCTATTTATGGTGGATGGATGCTGTCTGACGTTCATTCAGCTTTTTTTTTAATCACCACATGCGAGTGCACGTGCGATTAAAGTTAGCTGGGCCTTCGCACAAATGCAGCTCTTAAAATGACATCAGATCCATCACGTGATAAGTCAAGTGAGCTTATGCTGGTTAAACTATCTATCTTTATATGAGGAAAGGAACAAAGGGACTGTATCACTTCTTTTTGCACACATGCTTTACGAATAAGTGGCACAGGTGCGACTGAAAAGAGCACATCCATGTCAGGCACATTTAGTCTGTCATTCTGTCAAAATTCCATCAGCCCCGTTCTTCAGGAACATTTCTGGTGGTTGCATTGTATTTTGCTCTTTGTGAGTGCTATAACTTTGCTCCAGCTGCTGGCCCGTACTGAAAACTACTCGCCAGTTTCACTAAGACATGCCTGCATGACACATTGAAAAAGCTTCGGTCTTCAGTACATACGTTGGTCTCCCTTACTTCTAGGAAAGAAATCTGCCTACAATAATTTATCGAAATATTGGACAAATAATGACATTGTTTAATCTTAAGCCCTTTGCTAAAAGCTTGAGTTCAATGAGTTTATTAACGAAGCCAGCATGCCACTAGTTTTGAGAAGTACGTAGGCATCCACTGGGATCACTGAAGAACCAGCTTTACAAAGGCTATTTTGCAATTTTAGACCGCAACTGCCCACTCCCATGACTGGAGAGTGTTCTGGCAACTAGGTAGTGAATATCATGCCATTGGGAAATTTCAACAATGTTTTGTATAACTTTGCATGATATGCACAATTCACATAAACTGTGAGTGGATTGAGATTAACCTGCAATTGAATGTTACTAATTGTTTTAGTAATTTTCATAAGCTGCTGTTTGTGACCTGAAAATGTTTGCCAAATGGAAACAGACAGTTAGGTACTACTATGGCATTCTTAACTCATGAGTTGCATGGAATTGAAATTGTCGCTGAAAGTGAGCAACCGAAAATTCCACTTGAAATAAAACATTAGGACTGGGAAGAACTGACATGTTGCCAGATTTCGAATTTCAAGAATTTGAAAAGGCATGTTTAAGACTTCAGGTCTAGACAGTTTCAAAATCAAAAGCTCACTTTACATTTTACAACAAACACATGTAAAAAGCACCTGACTTGCTAATACTTCGAGAGAACATGAATTACGGTACTGCAGAGACCAAGCCTCTAAATATGTGACAAGGGGATCAGAATATTGCTTAATTACAAAGAAAAACCATTTTCGCTAGTCTTTATTGATTACAGTTTATGTGCACACATACAAGAGTGGCGAATGGAAGTAAAGGAGAGAAAAAAGCCTCACAAACACGGCTGAAAACCTTGCCCTTTTACAAACACCATGGCTGCAAGAGACTTTGCATGTTACTGTAACACATCACAGATATACAATAAATGGAAGAGAAAGAAAACATTTACACAGCTGATTAACATTACTATGATAATGCAGCATTTCAGAGGAAGCATTTCTTGTACTTTACACTTTCACAACCTATAGTCTAACAACCAATGGTCCATACACCAACAACATACAACAACCAATACTTTAACAACTAATGGCCGATACACCAACGACCATAACATTAATGCAGTGAATAAAAAGCCCTCGCGTGATAAGTATGTTGAAATAGAGCACTGCTTGTGAAGCTACAGCGGTGACACGTGTGCTCAAAGCGTGAGTCAGCTGAGAGAATGACTGCCGAGCGTTGAAAAAATAACAATAACCTCGGAGCTTTCAGTTGCGCGTGCTAGTCGACATTATACGGCCGCAGAGCACTGTTGGAGGGGATGTTGGTAGAACGAATTTCTATCCCCCCGTGCCTTGAATCAAAACTCGAGCTCTTTTCCGATGACTTGCGTAGTCTCGCCGGGACAGCAGAGGAACGTCTATGGGAAGAACTGTGTGTTTCATGGAGTAAAACTGTGGGCTGGATGCGGTCTACAGTCGAGAACTGCATCGTCAGGCTAACATAGATGTTATCGACTTGAGGAGTAGGTCCGGTGCGTGACGCTAACGAAAATAATCACTGCATAAATCTATTTTTACAACGTCACGCCCGTTTCTCAACGTAGTGCTGCGCACGGCGTCAGCTTGGTACGCGCTGGGTACACTCGCACGATGGTTGCTAGTGGTGAGCCCGAACACCCCGTCATACTTCGAGTCAGTCGTATTCCACTTCTGCGGAACGAAGCGCACTTCTTTCACCACAGAAACCTTTGTAACACGACACCCCGACACTCAGGTGATCGAGCACGTTTACATCACGCTACGATGAGATGGATGCGATTCGATTATTTGAGGGGGACGGGAATCGCGTTAAAACACGCTGCTTACCTGACTAAAAGCACTCGACGCTCCAGGGCACGCGAAGAGGACGATCCGCGACCGGCAGTCGAGATTTAATTCGCCAGCGAATCTCGACTACTAAAACCTGCGGCTGCCTTCATTTTGCGACGGTAAAATAGGGCTGACCCCCGAGCAATGAAAAAACCAGCCGTTATTTTACCGGATATGTGTCGCTAGCATCGACTGTCGATCAGCTGGGGCATATGGCTGGGGAGCCGCAGTCACGATTTGGCGATGCGCGCGTTTTCGTTGGTAAACAATACGTGATCCTATGACAGCACTCACGTAACACCCCAGAAACTACTGGAAAAAGCTCTTTTGCGGCGGTCAGGTGAATCAACGGTAAGTAGTTGATCGTATCTGAAACTTGTTGCATCTCGCGCTGAGCACATGCTGCGCCTCGTGAGAAAATATCGTACTTATGCAACATGCTCGTGCGGCTTCACGAAATGCGAATTGGCACCGGCAGAGTTTAATTTTCACTTTCGTTCTTTCATTCGTAGGATCGTATCAGAAAGTATGGTTGTCCTTCTGTTTTCTCTTGGTTTCGGCGACCGAGAATCGCTCGCAGAGTGAGTTAACCGTGTATCGTGCACGTAACATTAGGGAGCTGTATGTTATGTGCATCCTCGTGCAAAATAAACAAGCCTGCAGTGTCGATGCAATGTACCAATACTGTTTAATATGCCTCCACCGCAAATCTGCAGCGGTGGTGCGCCACGCCGTGTGCGCATCCGGCCGCAGATAACACCTGCATGTCTGCGCAGTGGAGGCCCGGCGAGGGAAAAAAAAAAAAGAAATGTTGTGTGTGCTCGCTACACATGTAGTACATCCGCAGGGAACAATCTAAAATTTGCAGACTTCTGCAGAATAAAATCTTACATCGCCGTGATGAAACTCTGTTTCATCACGGCGATGTAACTCGTCGCACCCACACACCCCTTTTGTAATTTACTTTCTCGTGTATACATGCAGGTCTACTTACATGCGCATATGTGTTGTAAAAATTTGGTGTCATTGCCGCAGTTACTACGTGTGTGCTAGATTCTTAACGTCCAAGTTGATTTCGAACCAAAGCATCCACAAAGTCGCGAACGAACATGCTCTTGTAATATGCTCATTGCATGAATTGATCATTGATGGTGTGTGAGTAGTCGGGGTTAGCTCGTTTGTAATTTCTACACTTCTATTCACAGCATATGGAGGCGTTACCAGGCGTGCAATCGAAAAAGTTTACATGGGTAAAAAGTGCTCTGTTTACAATTAAAAAGGTGTAACTCGCATGTTAACCTTCCTATTCATTTGATGATAATGAGATATGCTCTTTTTTTCAAATTTTTACTTTGAGATTTAGCAACAGTAGAACTTTTTACAAGCGGCAGTTCCACTGGGCCATTGCGAGCTTAGCAAATGGCTAAGAAATGAGCAAAACCCACTGATCATTTGTATTGTTTCTCACATAGAATCCATGTGATAATACCTTTCCTCTTACTGAGTTGAAACACTTTGTGGCTTGCTTAGCTGCCTTCAAAGTCTCATTCCATTAGAAACATGGGAAATAAGTGCCTGGCAAAAGAGAAAGAGCTCGCCATTGACAATCAACCTTTGGAATATGTACAACGTTATGCATGCCCAAGGTCAATCACTAACGGGGGGCCTACTTGTGAAAAAGAAACTCACTGAACAAGCATGGGCTGCAGCACATATGCAAAGCTTTCCAGATAATTCATATTGCCAGTTCTAACATTTGAGGCAGAAACTTGGTAGAATAACAAAGAAATTTGAGAAAATGTTAAGGGTCACACATCCCTGAGTAAGAAATGGCAGGCAGAATATTAAGAGATTGAAAGGTAGCAGAATGGGTCAGAAAACAAAAAGGGGTAGCTGATATTGTGGTTGACAAAATGGACTTGGGCTGGCCAGGTAATTATCGACAGAACAGAAGCGGAAAGAAGCTGAAGATGGTACTGTGTCAGACTGAGTGAAAAAGTTAAGAAGGTTGTAGGCATAAAACAAAATATGCTTCACCAATAAGGGATAAGGATGCTTCAGATAAGAGAGATGATCGGGGGAGGCTGTTGTTTTACGGTGATTATAGAATAGTGTGATGACAACCCTGCACATAACCGTATTTGTTATCACCAGCATTGGGACTGAATAATGTAAGTGTTAAATCACTACCACCTGCAGCCCCCTAATTATGCCAGTATATAAAAAACTGATGATCAATACAATCTGTCATCTGTAGATTACTTTACACCACACATCAGGACCAACTACAAGCTTGCAGACTGCTCTAAAACATAAATAGATGCCCGCAAAGTGTTGTCGTTCACGTCATTTCATGGACCCTGCTTCTCTGCAGGAAGCAAATTATGTACTGTATTTGCAAATTGAAAACGTCACTTGAATGTAGATTTGTTTCCTGGGCCAGTATTTTATGGTGATGCTAGATTCTATGCCTGTATTGTCATCTACTCTGCAAAGTCAGTTGATCTTGTTTATATTGTTTACAAACCGGCGCACTGACCTAACCAACTGTCAAAAGCACAAAAAGGCATTAGCATAGGAAAAGCCATTGCTGTACAAAACACAAGCCGTGGCCACATTTTGATCGTGGTGTAATGTCAATACATCTAACGCTCACGCTCATGTACTTGGGTTCAGGTGGACGTCAGAAATGGCAGTTGGTCAAAATTAATCCAGAGCACCTCATAATTGTGCTGTGATTTTGTTATGTAAGAGTCTAGATTTTATTTGCTATTGGACATAAAATGATGCGTGGGTATACTGCAAAGTTACTGTCAAGTCCAGTTTCACTGTTTAGGCCTCTAACCATGACTAGAAACTTGCACGAATTTCAAAAATGAATGAATATTTTTTTTACACATGATTGATAGAGACGTGCGCACATCGCCCACTTTTCAGCAAGATCGTACCACCCATGTGCAGCAATAAGGTTTGTTCATTTTAAAATGACTATAAATTCTTAATCAATATTTGCCATATTAATTTCCATCTAAATATCACCCAGCTTCATCTGACTGCATCACCTAACCAACACTTCTGTTCTTATCAGTTACTTTCCTCTTGAGTTCTGTATGCTTAATTATTCTAATATTCCTTAACATGTAAGCCTACTGAAATATAGAAAGAGAACATAAGGAGGCTGACAACTTCCACCAAGTGGGGCACTTTGCCTGCCAGCTCTTTCCATTAGAAGGAAAAGTAAGTGGAGATGAAAAAGAAGAGGCTGTGAAGAAAGAGACACTAAACACATACGAAGTAATGTCATTGATTCACAGAGTTTCCACTCAAGTGGCATTTTGTACGTAGTTTTTACACTGCAGCAAATACATCTCGCAATGTGTTTCCACGTAGGAAGCACCCTTGTGAGGTGGCCTCAAGTACAGCAAGATGCGTTACTGTCCTCCGAATGTGACCTTGAGTGATGTGTGGACCCGAGAGGGTCTCTCCCAGTGCTTCCTCGACACCGTGGGTCCACCTGTCCTTCTCCTAGTCATACTCCTGGGGGGTGGTGTCCAGTGGGCAGTGTACCACAAGTACGCCACGCGCCTCGACACCAGACTACTACATCGCAGAGGATGTTACAAGTTCCATGTGAGTGTTCCTGGAGGAATCTCGTTGGAACGCGAGTGGATACACACTCTATTGAGTTATGTCTTCTTTGCTTGGCCATGTTGAAAAGGGAGCTGTTCGAATGTGGACCATTAGCCTACAGGGCTTGAAGTTCGCGATGGGGCTCTGAGGTGTTGGGCACCTCCACCAAAAGTTAGAGATGAAGCCTGCCTTACCTTGTTGTTAGCAATACATTTATACATGGGTTGTCCTCTGTCCACCCCTTACTCAAGGAAAGTTTGGCAGCCTCATAACTAAGGAGAGACTTAAGCAACTTCTCGAACGTCTAACCCTTACTAAATATTTGAAAAGGACTTTACTGACATATATTCAAGAGCTTTGTGGTGCCTGCATATATTACTCACAGAACAAACAAAAGTTTGCTCCTCCTCTTTACCCTGTTCTACTAAAGAGGCCATGACCCCAAATATACCAGGGTATACGTGCCTCGGTCTGTCTGCTGTTCCATTGTGAAGCCGTAGCAGCAGTTGAACTGCATACGGCCCTGCATGATAATGCCCAGCAAAACAGAAACTTCAGTTGCGTAAAATACAGCCAACTCAAAAGGTACTGTTGTCTCGAAAAGCATTTTGCAAATAAAAGAAATTTGTGGTAGGGAAACTTCTTACGAATAAGACTGAAGTTGCACATCGCACAGGGATAAAAAATACTCAACGCATTATTGGGCTCTGTAAGGTATGATCAATAAATAAATAAATAACCTTGAGAAAGTAGAGCAAGCCATGCCCAAATGTCAGAATTGCTGACCCCTCTGCATCACATGTAACACCGTAAGTGACATTGTAGAAGACCTCATGAAATTAAAATGAGGTTAAGTGAAATAAACAATATATCTTGTGTCCCAAATAAATTATTCAATAAAGCAATTTTACATATTAGTTTAAGTGGTACATATAATCAATATATAATTGATTGAGGTGCAACAAATGTTTTTAGGAATCCTACAAAAGTATAGTTACTCGCAGACTTCGCAGAAAAAATTATTTTAGTGTCATTAATTAAACTGTTATTTCACTGAACATCTCCTTTAAAGAGACACTAAAGAGGAACATTGACTTTGTTGACAAATGGCTCTTAGGGAACTCTAATGCTATATGTTTCACTGTCATAAGTTCTTCATTAGCAGAGAAAATCAAGGTTGAAGTTTCATTTTTAGATTTTGCGTGAAAATCTCTGCACGTGAAGTAGAAAATTGCAAAGTGTCCTTTCGGTATTTTCGTGGCATTGGCTTCATGAAAAAGTTTGTATGCTAAGTCTATGGGAATCACAGATCGCAATGTACTTAATTTTTATCGATTGGAAGCTATGTAGGACCTAGTAGACGCCTTCAAAATTTCTTACGTCATGGTGTTTGGTGCGGGAACCTCAGGTTGGCCTCGCCACCCCCATTTTCTTTTCGCATGTTTTCTTACTTACTAAGCATTGTGTTGTGGTAGGAGTTGTGTTTTTAAAATGGTGAAATTGTACTTTACTAATATGCGTAAAATTGCATTGCTGTTTAGTGTCCCTTTAAGTCAAGTCAAGTTAGCTTAGTTCTAATCCAAGCTGCTTTCTGAAAAATTTTCGAGAGAATAGTGAGTGTTTGATTTAAATATGAAATGGTTATAATGCATACTTGCTTACATTAAATATTGCTGTTGTCCTATCTAGTCAACATGTGAGTACATATGTAGAAGATTAGTTAGCTTTGGTGGCCAATAGGGAATCTTTCATCTTGTCAAACAGCTATGCACTTTTTTTTTTGTCATCACTCTCCTTGATCCTGCAGTTGGCACAAAATGTTTATTTTCATGCAGTTGGAATTTTTAGTGAGATATCGTTATCAACATGGGTTGTTAAGACTTTTTGTAACAACTTTTGTGACCTATAGGTTCATCTTTCTCTACCTCTCTCAACAGTCTTGCTTTTAGAATTCCTCCCGACTCAAGACAAACTTCTGTTGCAAATATCCATCCACTGATTTAAAATTCGTGAAAAGGGAGTGAGTGCCAAACCAGTTGCTGCAAAAGCGAAATTGTCTTCTTCAAGGCTGCAACTTATTTCACTTAAAACCTTGAAAAAGACCAGTTTGCTTCTTGAAACGTCAGCTCCAGCACACACTCACCCTGTTTACAAATTTTTCGTCGCCAACTTCGATTTTCCTGTTTCTGTCTTTTTTTCATAAGTGGCCACCGATGTTTATCTTCTATTAGTTCGCATGACACTATTGTTTCTAAACTGCCTGGCAACAGGTCTATTTTAGTTAACATGTGTCATATATAATGAAATCCAACTTCTTGCTTCTTTTGTCAACGTTATTCTCCTGTTGCCAAAACGGCTTCATGCCGGTTCCAGTCCGATTTTCACCCTGAACTCCTGCTTCATTAATGTGCGGGAATATAGTTGTGTGCATCTTGTTAGCTGTCTTTTTTTCTATTTTAATTTCACTAACATTATTTGGGGTCTCAGTTGTGCTCAAAGAACATAGTAGGCAGTTATGTGAAGCAACAAAGGGAGTATTTATTGCCCTTTCTATGCAGTGCTACGCCAGCTAGCCAGATAGTGTAAGGCACATTGCAGCTTTCAAGTGGGGCCTGAATTGGGCAAGCATAGCTGAGGTCTAGTGGTGCTGCACAACTGCAATGTAAAAAGGCTCACTGTTCTGCGGGGACTTGCTCCCTCACCAGAACAGAAGTTGGCCTCCCTGGTGCTGTATCTGCCAGCCTTGGCCTACATGATACTCACAGTTAAACCTGGCCCCTCAGTCTCCAGTGGCTGGAAAGCATCGCACCACAGAAGCGATCAGACACGTAAAGTATTGGGGAATGCTAAGAATAGTTAGATCTGGGCAGGCCACCAGTGGACGCAGCATCTGAAATTGTGTGGAATGAGTGTGGAACCCGTAGCACGTGATCTTTCGACAAGTGAACAGCTGACGAATAAGCTTTTGCATACTGGCTGAATGCGTAAAATTTGCTGGAATGAAACCCTCGCTATGAATGAATGACAGAAGTGAATTTCGAGGGCTCGTTTCTTGGTTTGGCAGCTGGCAAAAGAGAGTGTTCCACACTGGCTGTCAGGGCTGCGAGCGGGACTGACTGAAATTCCCATTGTTTTGAGTGCTCATAAACACTCCGCAAAAGTGGACGAGGAGACGACCGCCACTTTAACGCTGTTTGTAAGAGCATCGAGTGTGCAATCTGAAGATTGTATGTTTGGTACCTGTCAATGGAAAGTTGTGTTCTTGTCCATTTTACTTTCTTCACATTTATATCACACTTACTAGAATACTATTAAAACATTACAATTAACTTACCTAGGAGCATAGCCAAAATTTTATAATTTATGTATGGGGCAACCATACCTAATGCATGTTCACATGTGCATTTTTGTGTGTATAGATATATATATATATATGTATATATATATATATATATATATATATATATATATATATATATATATATATATATATATATATATATATATATATATATATATATATATATATATATATATATATATATATATGGTGGGGTGATATTCAATGGATCCGGTGGAAAATGCAGTATAAAAAGAGGTCGACAAACGTGCGAAAAAACACTAGTTTTACTAACGTTTCGGCAGGTGGGCCTGCCTTCGTCGGAGTGAATGTCGTCGGAGTGAATGTCTTCGTCGGAGTGAATTCACTCCGACGAAGGCAGGCCCACCTGCCGAAACGTTAGTAAAACTAGTGCTTTTTCGCACGTTTGTCGACCTCTTTTTATACTATATATATATATATATATATATATATATATATATATATATATATATATATATATATATATATATAGATATATTGCAAGCAGAATTGAAAATTTTTTAAGTAGGAATTTGAACAGCCCAATGCCCCCCCCCCCCCCCCCCAACTATGCCCATGATGACGTCCCCTATAGGTTCCGTGCCTTCATTATTTGCTTGGTTTCATTCACTGATATATAATAGTTGTGCCTGAAAGGTATACTGCCGCAGTGATAATGCAGGGTTGTGTCAGATCCCCGCCTTGGTGGGAGCATTGATGCATGTGAGGCAGCTGGCCAAAAAAGGTGAGCATTCCATGCGTTTATTATGCGGAACGTCTGTTCACGTCCAGACGTCGCTCATGATGGCACTGGCCACATCGTGCCTGGTGCGGCTGGCTGTGGTGTCGGGCATCGGGGGTGCTCCAGTGGAGGGCCACCAGCTGGTCTGGGCCCTGTGCATGGCACCAGCTTGGCTGCTGTCGGTGCTGGTGACACGGCTCGAACGCTTCTGGGCCCTGCCCAGCACCCCCACTCATGGGCATGGCTTACCACTGCTGCTCTTCTGGGCCATGAGTGTCATCCATGAGGCCCTTGCGTTCCTTGGACTGCACAGCACCACCTGGTGGTTCCAGGTTCACACGTCAGTGCCAGCTTCATTTTTTCCTTCTTTTTTTTTTCAGCTTTCTGTGTGCTCATTCAAATACAAGCTGGGCTGAGAGCCAATACCTAAACAAAATGAATTGTTTGCATCTGTTTACATGTGTATGTTACAGATCGCAGGGCTTTTCTGATATTGTGAGCTATCATCAATTGTAAATTCAGTGCCATATTTACTCGAACCTAGGCCGGTGTTTTTTTCCAAAAAACGGTCAGTGAAAGTAGTGGGCGTTGGCTTAGATTCAAGTAGCATAGTTTAAACGCAGTTGCCATATACGTAAAGGCCCGTCTGCGCTAGAGGCATGTCGGCTTGTTAGGCATTGATCATAGACTGCCGTGTGCAGGTTGTTCTGCATGTGCACTCAAAGTTCATTTCTGCAACGTCCTATGGTAGCACTGCACGGTGACCTGGTCGGCCAGGCTCAGCAGAGAAGGAGTGATCTCCGTGGCTACACAGATGAACGATGTCTGCTGCGGACTGTCTTTTGTTTCGAAATCTCGCAGTCCCATGTTCATGCTGTCAAGCTCATTTAGCTGGCAAGATTTCGTGCCAGTAAGGGTGGGTCGTGTCACCTGATTACTGTGCCGGTGATCACCATGCACTTAACACCCTCTCTTCTCGCACGCGCAAAGACACAGGCGTGGAACACGAAGTTAGCAGGCTGTTTTTTGAAAGCAATCGTTTAGCGCAGTCGCATTGGTAGATTTTTGGAAGTGTCGCGCCTTAACTACCTTTTTGCAGCTAGGAGGACAGCGAGGCTGCAGACGATGATGATGATGACGATGATGAACGAATGCGCATGCCTGTGGAGTGTGCTGTTATGCAATAATAGTGCTGGGTTTTCTGTCGATGAAACGGTGTTGCTTTCATTCGATCTGCATTCAAGGCGAGCATTTTTTTTTCTGGCCTTGCAAATTTCGGGGGTTGGCCTGCAATTGAGAGCGGCCTAGATTCGAGTAAATACGGAATTTAGTAAGTGATAGAAATAAACAGGTTGCAATTCTCTCGGTGACATGCCATAGGGACAGAAGATATTGGGCAAGCCTTATGCTGAATGATGACTCAAAGTGGGGAGTCAGCGCTAGCCGGAAGCACTAGGAAATTTTTGAGTGCACCACTATGATATGCTGGCACTCTCCTGTAGGCAAGCGATGATTCTACAATGGTTTAAGATTTTAAATTATAACAGGTGAATTCGATTGTCAGTGTTTATGGAAGCAAATTGATTCGCATCCAGGGTAGTGCAAATAATAAAATTAGCGAGATTTGAGAAATGTTAACTTTGACAACTTGAAGGTGCACTGTCTAAAAAATTTTGCATCCCCTTTTTTCAGTCTCAATAGGTAGCTAATGACCCACTTATCACGCTGCAAAGCTCGTTCACTTGAACGCACAGCAGTAAACTATTTCAAGATAGTTTTATACCGTGCAGTCGCAGTCTCAATTTCAGAGAGCACTGAGTTAGGTGGAACCAAAAGTGGTTTTCGTGTAAACATAGCCGAGTGTGTGAACACACAAATAAACATGTCAACAAGAGCACCGCATTAACAAATCTTTTAAACGAAGGCTCACTCTGAGACATAAATATGTGTGACCCCCGAAAATGCACTTCCAAGGCAAGGACATCAGCCTTTGTAGTCACGTGCAAGCCTGCCCCCTCATTCCATTGAAAAGGTCTGCTAGGAGAAAGCAATGATCACGGCAGCCAATGCAGGGGGTGGATGATTGTTTCAGGAAAACCAAAGGCGTATTTTACGTGTGGTTCCATGACATGCATTTAAATATCGATTTTAAATATGTTCTAGGCTGTGTAATCGGTTGACATTTTTATAGACGGTGCCTACGCAAGTCTATTTCACATATTATTTTGCCTTTAAATTTTGTGTGAATCGTCTAATATTTTTCTCTAGAGACAAGGGTGTCCTTGGTCTGAACGTGTCCAAGTGATAAAATTGTACTGCTATAGCACAGCTCAGTTTGAACATGAAGAAAAAATGCAACAATGAATCTTCATTGTTGCATCTTCATTGTTGCACGTGTGGCCAGTGTAAGATGAACTGTGTGGCCATTGTTGCACGTGTGGCCAGTGTAAGATGAACTGTGTGTGTGCGTGTGTGTTGTGTGTACACGCATGAGTGAGTGATCTTTAATGCCTCATTTGCTTCATAGTGACCAGGTTTGATAGCACTGCAGTGTGGTAGACCAGAGCTATGAGCACCCTCTTTCAAGTCCATGGTGCCTATAGAGCATCGTGTTCAACCAAGCTCTGTTCATGGTCGGGAATGAAGAAAAGGGTAGTTAAATTTTTTCCAACAGCGAAGCTGTTATAGGCAGCTGTAAAATTCCCATGGTCACCAGAAATTTATCATCATCAGCGGGTATGAGCCACAAAAATTGGGTGTCTCTACTCAGCACTGGTCCTCTGAAAATGAAGAAAAAAAATTGAACAAAAGAAAAAGGAAGAAAAAGGAATTGAAGAAAAAAGGCAGAACTACTCAGCAAAGTGTAGCATGTGAAACACGTGCAATATATATAGAGAAAAAAAAGGTAGAAAAGAAAATGTGAGAAAAAAAAGAAAAATATAGAGAGAAATTTGTATAAAGGCATAAAAAGAGAGAAAGATATAAAAAAATCATCGAGCAAGAGAGAAAAAATGAGAAACAAAGGAAAGAAAAAGGCAGACAGAGAGAAGAATATTGCCACTAGTACAAGTTCTGAAAGTATTATTTCCATTGATGCTGGCAGGCTTGTATGTGCCGCTGTTCAGAAGAGAACGAAGATGCGCGTGCAGAGAAAAATGTGCACAGAAAAACTATTGCGGAACTGGCAGGTGTCATATTAACTGTAAATCAAGCGGCTCCCGGTTCAGACCAGATTACAAGCTATATGATTGAATTGACATTTAATTCCCATCCCGATGAGCTATTGAATATTGTTAACTGCTCTTTACAGCACACATGGATTCCAAGCGCATGGAAAATTGCTAAAGTTGCGTTGCTGCAAAAAAAATCAAAGCCTTGGATATATATGTCTTGGATAACATTCGGGCAATTTCGCTTACTTCAAGCCTAGTTAAAGTAATGGAAAAAGTTCCTCATAGAAGACTCAGTGAATTCATCGCTCGTCAGGACATCCTTTCATCAAGGCAAATAGGATTTAGACAGGGGTGCTCTATATGGTCGGCTCATGTTGATTTATAAAGCCGAATTCGCCTTGCAAAAGTATCTGGTGAGCTTTCTGCATTAGTCACGTTAGATATCGCAAAAGCCTACGATAGTGTGGAACACAGTACATTAATTTCAAGATTAGTGGACTGTAAGGTGCCAAGTACATTATATCTTGGGTTCAGTAGTTTCTCTTTGAGAGACAATTCTTTTGTTGCCACGAGAGAATTACTTCTGCCTCATATAAGCAAACGAGAGGTGTTCCGCAAGGATCAGTACCATCACCTCTTTTATTTAATATCTTATTATCATTCATTCCTGTTCATAAAAGTGTTCCTCTTTACGTCTACGCCGATGATATTGCTTTTTTCTCGTCATCCCGAGATATCAATAGTTTCTATCAAATCTTACAGTCATATTTGAGTGAGCTTGAAGTATGGCTTGGCGGGCTGTCTTTTTCACTTAATGTTAGCAAATGTGCTCTGCTTGTATTTCCTCTATCCGTTCCCGTATTTCTTTCACTGCATTATCGAAATGATCCGATTCCACAAGTAACAGCACTAAGATATCTTGGCATTGTTTACGTGGACAATTTAAATTGGCAGCAACAAATAGAATTAAGCACCCGTAAAGCAGAAAGCGCCCTAGGATTGCTACGCCGGTTTTGCGATAAGAATTCAGGGATGCACAGGGATACGTTACTTATGATATACAAACTTTACATACGCCCAATTCTGCAGTTTGGTTGCATTCTGTTTTCCGGAAGTACCGAGTACAAATCAAGGTCTCTTATATTGCTAGAAAGGCAAGCTCTGGGGCTATGTCTCGAGCTACTTAGGTGTGTCGCGAATAGCGTGCTTTATTTGAAAGCTCGAATCATTCCACTTGATGTTAGATTTCAACAGCTTACTGTGCAAACATTTTTAAAACTCTACGATGCGCCCCTCTTCTGTTGACAGACAGTTTTCATCAAATATCCAGTTTCTTTCTTCAAGCGTCCGTGGTGTCGTTATCAAAGACCCCACGTAATTTTCGTTGATCTTGTTTATCAAATCTTCACGTTTCTCTCCAGCATTTAACTCCCCAAAACCAATGCTCGGTGCCAATTGGCTTAATTTTCGATGATATTTTTCTGAAAAATGCCAAGTTACTTCCAAAGCATGTTCTGGATTGCCTCCTTCAAGACCATATCAGTCAATTTCCCATTTACGTAGTAATTTCGACGGATGCAACGCAAAATCTTCAGAAGGCTAGCGTAGGTATTTTTTATCATCAGCTTAATTGGTCTTTTGCGCTCCGATTGCCTGACCTCACACCGATTTATCTCGCAGAATTCCTCGCTATTACATTGGCTCTTCGAAAACTAAATTATCAGCGGTCAAAAGCTATTAATATTTCGGATGCTTTATCTCTATGTACACATCGAATGTCCGCAAAGCAGTCTCCTCTTCTCAAGATATTTTGGTCTCTCGTACCGCATAGCCTATCAGAAGTTCGGTTTATTTGGGTCCCCGGGCATGCTGGTATTGTACTAAATGAAATTGCTGATTCGCTTGCTTCGGTATCTTTAAATTTCCCGGTGGTGCTAGTAGCTCCACAGTTTCCTTTTATTAACGATTCCAACGCCTGTTAATCTTAAATATCAACGAAACATCGCTCCTACAATCTGAAGAATTTCGGCACTTGCAATTCACATGGAACACCGCAAAATGCCTTTCCCGTCAATGTGAGGTGACCCCACAAGCTTTCACTGTAGAGCTCCTCAGTTAAATTTTTATTTCCACAAATCAGGAGTTTCATTAACTAACCTATGTGCAG